CTCAAAGTCCATCGGACTCTCGGCTGACCGTTTCTCCATCTTGAGTGCTACTGCATATAGGAGAGGATGCAGATTTGAAGATCAGGGACGCTCGGTTGAAGACATCAATTCTGGAAATTATGCTGATGGTTTGGCCTGGCCTGTCGCTCAGACGACGACTTTTGTCATTCTTTGTTTGGGGCTGTGGAGAATTGCCATAACAGGTTAGTCTTACCGCTTACAGGATCGCGCTCTGGAATCAGTCATTTTTGTGGCTTTGATTTCCATGAGGCAATGTTCTTTGGCTTGATTTCTGAAAAGCATCAGACATTATTTTATCTAAGTACAGGATGATGAAGCCCTGGTCTTGATATTCAGATGTTAGTGACGGATGTGGACTGTGGCTGCATTATGCTGCAGTATAGCAGCGAGGAGCTACTCCATCATATACACTGTACTCCACATTAAACAGCTGGCTGTCGCAATGTATCAAATGTTTGATCCAGAGATAATGCGGAGATTCAATGCATCTTTCTTACTATTTCCATGGACCATTTGTTCAGCGAATAGTAACAGTAAATTCTCTTTTTCGGCTGGACCTTTCTCATGATCTTTAGATGCCCCGCACACGAGCAAAAGGATCTCAGCGGTCGCGACTCATTGGTGCCCGACTTATCTCTAGCAACATCCTCGTCTGACTGACACCGATCATTTGAAGACAACTTAATATATTGCATCAATCATACATGAATCCGAATGCGATCAATTACGGGTTTCATATGATACTATTGGGGTATAAACCATTCTGTCTGATGATAAGAGTCGTGATCACGCAGGACTACTGAAGAACAACGACGAAGGACAGTCCCGCGGTAGAATCGACTGATTCCACCTACGAAATCAGAGAGACAAGCACAAACATGCTCGAAGCATACCATCCTGAATCCAAAACCACCGATTCGTGAGGAATAAAGACGCTCTAAACCAACTCCGATCCGGAATCATGTCAACCAGCGCGGTCAAACGCCAAAATAGAGAAAACAAGTTGAGGGGGAAATGAACGAGAGAACTCGTCACAGCTGAACATGGTCTACCAGCTCGAAATCATCGTCAGCCAGATAGCCAGTTCCCATCCCGCTCTCATGTGAGACGATCTCATATTCCTTGACCAGCTTCTCGGTCTCCTTTGTCTCGTACTTCTCCACGGCCTTGTTCACCGCGTCAGACAAGATCGTCTGACCAGCCACCTCATATGGATGGACGGTTTCGTCTTGGTCAACGATCGTGACTTCGGGGCCCTTTTCGACTGCGACTGGCTCCTCGACTTCCTCACCACTAGACGAATCAGAGGTACCGGTGTCGAGGATCTCTTGGATATCATGATGCAGGGAAACCCTGGAATAACGCGCGAGCTGGTTGAGATTGTGCTGGTTCGAACGCTTGATGACGCTGGAGTCAAGGTCAGCCTATGGTTGAGCCTATGTATTCTTCCCTGTAAGGACAACTCACGGAAGATGACGGTGCAGCGGTTTCGCAGGACGAGTTATTGGCAGGAAAGGGGCCACCAGGTTCTGCCGAGGAAGCGCACATCGGCCACCGTAAGCCCATTTGGCCTTGCGATCGTGCTGTCTCTTTGCTTCGGTACCTGCCCGTCGCAGATCACTGTTGACGACAGTCTCGGATGCCATGTCGGCTGTTGGTGAGGGGAGAATCAATGATGAGGAGAGGTAAGCGGCTTCGGTGAACGTGGCTATTGGGGAAAAGCAGGCCGGATAGTGCCTGTCGTTGACTAGGGGAAGGATGTCTGGGAATATTTATAAGACAGACGCGACGAGACGAGGAAGAGACGGAAGGCTGATGAATAAGAATGGAACCAAGGCGCGATCCAAAAGTAAATGCTTTGGTGATAGGGCTGTCTTTGTCTGAGTCACCAGGGTTGGCGTCCAGTCATCGATCAATAAGTAGCAACCGCAGTTGGAACAAACTGCTCAGCATCCATGGAATCCATGGATGGAATTAGGCAATAAATCTTGAGAGAAGAATACTTTTAACAAGAAAACAGGACGACACAACAGTAACCAGCCGAATGACGCCAGGGTCCTCAGACTGGAGGGAGAGGGGGGCGCTCATTGTCCCTACCCTTATCAACCATCCGCATGCGCCGCAGGCAGCACGAGGACTGGATAAGGCGCTGCTGATTGCGACATGCCAGTTTCTGCTGATTGATGGATTGATCATTACCATCTCGGCAGTGATCCCCTCGTCTAGACTATCATCACTAGTCTACCATTGTACAGAATAGAACTCTGCTCTTATCCTTATCCGCGATGAGCGATCTACCCTCATTTCCCATCTACTACTCCGTAAAGATTGCTCTCTCCGCATCTCCCCTGATTCTTATCGCAGAACGGGGATCTCCCGAGGTACCTAACACTTCGATAGAATACAAGTAATCCTCCGAACGCCACAGTATAACCATGGTTCTTGACCACGCATCATCATCATAATTTATTATCCCATTACCAGTTCTGGTCCCCGAGGCTTAGGTTGCTCCGATCACTCAAAGCAGAGCCACTGATGGATGTATGTCGTCGTCGTCGCTGTCGATCCCTTACAGCCTCAGGCACCCGTATGTCCAGATGACTCAAAGCAACTTGACGTAGCGTTACGCGCCGTAGACTAATAAAAGACCCCGGTACTACATCAACATGCATCGATCGATCTTACTCGGAACTTACTACTGTCGAGTGTCGAGTAAATAAGCAGAAAATAGTAAGCATGCAAGTCGAAGTCCAGCCACTCCTCACCCTGAGTCATCTCATGTGCAAGCGATGACGCCGCTGATAGGGAGTATCCGGGGGTAGCTGGAGCTTATCATCTGCCTTGCGCATGGATACCTACGGAGTACTATTTATCCACCCCACGCAACCTACTCTGCATAACTGCTGCCTCTTCCGGATGACTTGCTTCTGGGTCTGGTTCTGGTCAGCTGTTCGGCTGTCATCATGGGCGGTGGTATGCGATGTGATGTGATTGATTCTGCTTGGTTATGGATACTTTGTGGAAAGTTCTGGGTTGGTTTCTCGTCACTTTGAGCTCACACTAACATGTGATTTGAGTTGCGTGGCTGGCTGTAGACCAAGGTAGTTGGTTGTGGCTGGTGTGTCCTACCTGCTTGTCTTGATGATGGTGATTTTGTTTCGATTGCAGTCTGTTGGGTCTGTAGCATGGATGAGATATATATGACTTGGCGTCTCCAGCCACATAAGTCCAGCAATCGGTTGTTTCGCGCTATAAATATCTGATGTTTGGAACATAAAGTTAAATCTCACTTTGCGAGGCGGGGTTAGCTCGAATAGAGCAACAGAGGGAACAGTTTAATCACAGGGTAGTGCGTTATTCGATGAACGCTCAACTTGAACCGGCCAGAAAGCGAGAGAATTGAGTGTCTATGACTGTATACAATAATGCCAGAATCGAAGTCTGGTTACTTGATCCTGGCGGCTTTACGGGAAATGGACCACTGCCACACGCAGTCATGGGCTTCTGGACGCATGTATACAATAATTTGAGGTAGTATGAAGACATCAAGTTTGCGACTTAGTCTCCAGGTGTCGCCCTTCGATGAAGTTGCATGTATTATTTGGAATGAGAACAACCGTAATATCATCAAGGTGTCCAGCACCATATTCACACCGAATCCGTACAGATAACCACTCCCTCCAATGCAATTTACTCATCCATCTGCCATTGGTAATCCAACGCTTCCAGTCTCCCCTTCTTATTCCTCGCTGCAAACCATTCCTTTTCGAACCCATTCCCCCGATCCACTCCATCCCACCGATGTCCCGGACGGATCCCATACCGATTTGGTTGAAAAGCCCCCTTATACAGCGGCTTCCCCGTCACACTCACGCCCGGCCCCTTTGTCTTGGTCAGAAACCCAGCCGCAGGATCATTCCACCGCTGCTGCGCCTTCAGCTCCTCATTCAGGGCATCATCCTCGATCGTCCGCGCAAGCGGCATCGCGCGAGCCTCCTGTATCTGCTGTCTGCGCGCCTCCCGCTCCGCCCGCTGCACATCGCCCATCAGCGCCTCCTTCGCCGCCTCTTCTTTCTCGCGCTTCTCCTGCTCCGCCCGCCGCGCCTCCGCCCGCTTCAGGGCAACGTTGATGATCCGCCCAGACGCATCTCGGTAGATCGTCTCCTGCGCCTCCGCCGGCCGCTCTCGATGCCGCGCCGCCTCGGCCTTCTTCCGTCGTTCCTGCGCAGCCACCATCGCCGCCGTCTGTTCCGCCGTCTGCAGTCCCGCCCGAGCACCGGACTCCATCCGCAGCTCTCCCTCGTCGTCCGCGTCCGCCTCGTCCACAACAGCAGGAGCCTCGTCGTCGCCTTCCTCTCCTTCCCCACGGCGAGCGGCGCTCTCCACCGCAGCGGACGCTAGGATCGCGTCTGCGGCGTCCCGTTCATCATTCGCGTTTGAGCTGCCCGTGGCGGGACCGCCCAGCGTCTTCCAATTCGATTTCTTCGCGCGGCGGAACTCCGCGCTCCGAACGGAGGTAACTAGACTCGGACCCTCGTCGTCCTCGTTGCCGAAATTCGTCGCCGACGTCCGTAGATCGGGCGGGTCGTCGTCGGCGATGATGAGGCCGTCGCCCGCGGTGTCGACGGTTTTGGTCTTCTTGCGTTTCTTTTTTGGGCGGTCGGTGGCTGGATCGGCCGTTAGGTAGTTTTTGGCGAGGTATTCTGCTAGTGACGAGGAGGGCATGGTGTTGGATCTGGGGGTTTAGATTGGGGGTGGAGGGTTGGCTTGAGCTTGAGCTTGGGCTTTTGCTGCGCGATCTTGCTATCGCGCTGATAGCCGGAGTTTTAGTTTTGCCGGTGCTCGTATCCGTATCCGTATAGAGTACCTGTCTTTCCCTGCGTCATACAGCACAGCATTAATCAAGATTAATGATTGTGATGATGAAGTAGATGATGAACTAGAATCATCTCTCAGATTTGAAGAGGGAAAGCGTTGAGATGCCCCGCTCCGACGAGGCAGAATGGTGGTTCAACGCCGTCTACGAAGCCGTTCAATCCATTCCCTACGGCAAAGTGACCTCCTACGGGCATATCGCCCTTCTACTCGGCGAACGTATGTAGATCCCCTTCGCATTCTCCTTTCTCCTTCTTTATCTACCCTCTAGGGCTGAAAGCTAATCGATGTAATAGCTAAACGACCCCGTCAGGTCGGAATCTGTCTCAAACATCTCCCCTCAGATACCTCGCAGCACTTCCACTCGGGCAATGTGCCCTGGCAGCGGGTGGTTAATTCCAAAGGGATGATATCTCATCGGTATGTTGATGAGATGCTTTTGTAAATTCCATGGTGCTGATTTCTGCAGGGGACCCGGAAGTGCTGAGCGCCAGGCCGAGGCGCTGCGCCAGGAAGGTGTCGAGGTCGATGCGGATAGCATAGGTGACTTCTACGTAGATTTTGCGCGGTATGGCTGGTTCCCGGAACGTTTGCCTGGGGAGGAATCCGAGGATAGTGAAGATGAAGACGACGCTCAATAAGGGTTAGAAAGTGATCGTTCTACGGTCTCAACTCTCTAAGTTTCACTTGGTTGGTCTAGAGGTCTAGGCGTGTATCTCATATCATTCATGTATCCACAGACCCTTCGCAAGAAGTCTGCTCAGTATCAACCAGAAAACTTGTACCTCCGCACCACAATGGTACTCTGCAGCTAGCTTCGACGAACACAAACTTCATATAGCCCTAACAGACGTGTGTCAAAGAATTGGCGGGAAGCTACCGTGCCGAAGGATGAGAGAGTCGTAAATCTTTCGGGCATTGGATCTAATGAAGAAGACGACCTGGAAGTGGCCGCGCGAGACCAACTCCGAGCAGGGTTGGAAGTATAACACAACAGAGGCGATCAGGCTCTATGATTGTAGAGAACGGGCAGTGAGGGTGAACGAGCTCCACACTTATTGAGGGAGGCGTATGGGCATCATGCAACAAGGAAATAAATCATAACACCCCTGTCCATTGCCAAAACAGAACCAAATGGTGATCGACGAGGATCCACACAGAAGAGGAAAAGGAATAAATAGGTAAGAGATCGTCACTGACTTATGTCTGATATGCTTTCTCGCTTTGCTTGACTCATCGCTTCTTGACTTCCGAGGCCCATCCATCGATCCCTTCGCCTCTACTACCAGGCGGTATACCTAGGTCAACACCCTTCATCCCGGGAGTGTCGCTCAGCCATTCATGAGCAGCCATACCACCGGCATTGGCACGTTTCTCGGGGGGCAATTCCAGCATCGGTAGCAGGAATTCGCTGATGCGCATACTCTCTTCAACCGAGAAATGATACTTCTCTCGTAGGACGTCAGGCAAAGCCCAGTGGCGTAACCGGTGGATATTCCGAAGTTCTCCTTTGCGGTTGAAAATCTCTTGCGACCACTTCCCAGAGAGACACAGTGATTTTGGGAAAGGACCGAGTAGCTCAATGATTTGTGCAATGTGATCGTCGTCTTTGCCGTACTTTGTTCCCGACTGGGGGTCGAAAAGGTAATCGCCTGTAATAAGCTCGAATACCTATCGGAATTGTCAGTCGATCACTTTGGCTAGGACAAAAGAAATCTGTAATTTCCAAACTAACCATGCAAGCCATACTCCAGATATCTGTGCTCGCACCCCACTTTGACCCCAAGATGACCTCTGGCGAGCGGTACTGTCGTGTTTGAATATCATTGGTGAAGTGATGACCAACCCAGCACGCGTTCCCCAGGTCGGCAATCTTCACTGAGATAATGTCACACAGAGGATCCTCGCTTTCTTCTTTAGAGGATTGTTTGTCAAGCGAGATCCCCGAAACCTCTCTCTCCAGCAGATCACTAAGCCCATGTCAGTGCATCAAACCTTCCAGATATGGGCCAGAATCAGTTTCCAACATACGTAGTCTTCTCCCTCTCTTTCTGCTTTTCGTCCGCCTTTATACCTAATAGCTCCTTCATCGACGCGCCTTCTTGCGTAGATGTGTCTGCAGACTGTCAGCGGGCGTAGCTTGGGATGCCACGGGGCGAGTTGTTTAAAACGTACTGGATGATTCAATAACCTGGCTGAGACTGCTGTGTGAGTTGGAAGAGCTGTGCTTGAAATCATGATGGCTGAAACTCGTGTTGAGTGGACTGGGCAATGGCTGACTCCCGGTGATGAGAGTTCTCCTCCGTCGCCGGCCGCTGCGGCTATCGTCTTTATTCTCCTTCTTCGCTTCCTCCTTGACATATGTCTGCACAATTTGTTCCACGTCGCCAATCTCGATCAGAACGTTCTCCGGCTTCAAGTCTGTGTGGATGATGCCGCATTCCCGGTGCAGGTAATCTAGACCCAGCAACACCTGTTTCGTAATTTGCTTCACTAGCGGCATGGGAATACCCCGATGGTTCCAGCGCTTGATCAAGCCAAGCAAATTTTCCCCCAGCACCTCAAACACCATGCATACATGGACACCATTTGGACCCTTGTGTTCAAATGAATCGAGCAGACTGACAACATGTTTCCGACCGGGATGGGAAGGTTTCGCTTGAACGATCTTATTCAACAACTTAATCTCATCGATAGCGGTTTCGGTGTAATGCGCGGCGGAGCGAACAACTTTGAGCGCGACGTGTTTTCCGGTGGTGGTATCGCGGGACAGCCAGACGGTGGAAAAATGTCCCCAACCCAATTTGCGCACGACGACGTACCGTCCATTGTTGTATGTTTCGCCCACCGTGACTGGGTGATAACCACCCTTGCAGTAGTCCTCCGAATCTTCCTCTTCAGCAGTGGTTTCGAGTTCTTCTGCGGACGATGAAGAGGCCGACCGCGACGGCGGCACATCATATGCGGACTTGACGGGGACACTGCCACTCATGTTGGTTAGGAAAAAGAATCAAAGAGCGCTATGATAACGGAGGAACGGGTATAAGAGCGCAGAGAAAAAAGGGCAAAGAAATAAGAAATTTCTGTCGTAAAAAAGAACACCGGAGCGACAATGCTGAAGAAAAGCAAGAGCGAAGCATACCCCTCAGTAGTTGTGGCAGATGGATCGATGGCAGGTGAGGCGGCGTCGTTGGTAACGATCGGCTTCAGATCGGTTCCTTTTCTTTTCTTCCTACCGCCATTGCCATTTGCAGCATTCGCAGCGACGCTTGCCATTTGTTTTCCCTTGTTGATGACGGCCTTGGTTATATCTACCCCGTCCATCGTTTGGATATCGGAGGATCGATGCGGGTTGAAGAAGGTCTAAATCGAGAGGATCTGGAGAAGGAGGGGCACAAGGTGTTGGGCCGGAGAAGGCGAAGCTGAGTCCAGCCAAGCTCGTTGTGTCTGGCGGCGGAGGGGTGGGATTGTGCGATTCTATGAGGGGTTGGTTCAGCGCCCGCGACCGCAACTCAATATGACGGAGGAGATCAGTGGGATGAGGCAGTAGTTTTGTGGAAATATAGATGCTTAGACAAGGGGAGAAGGAGTAGAGTAAATTGTAAATCGGACGAGATATTCGAAAATAAACGGAGTATTCAAGGTAGAAGGATGTGCGTATATGACGCAAACGATAAGGCCGAACACATATATAGAGGGGGCTCGGGGCAATAATGGTAATAGTAACTTTTGACGATCTAAGATCCGATCGACTCCTAGCGTTGTCGATTGAAATACTCAAACGAGTTGGAACGAATCAAACAGCAGAAAGAAGAATTGCAACAACCTGGTGGTGTGGTAGATGGAAATGCAGATGACAGGAATGTCCGCAAGCAGCAGCCGGTTTCTCTTCAAGCGATGTTGACAAGCCAGCAACAACAATCAACATAACGGATGTGGCAAATCGTGACTGGGGCTTGAGGGATGCTAGTTCCTTACCCTTTAAAGGTCAGGCCTGACCAGCGCGGGATCAATCATCGCTTAGAAGATGAAACTTGAGTCGTGCATTGATGATTTAGGACTACAGGCTTTTACGAGGTACCTGGGAGACGAAGGGGACTAAGGAACAGGAACATGGCGGATGAGGGGGCCATCTCAATGATGACGATAGAACAGATTCATCCTTTCCCTTGATCCTTCTGGTCGATGGCCCTCGGGCCAGAAGCTGACTGGCCCAGTACTGACCATTTGATGATGGATATCCACTGGAGTATGCACGGTGTTTCCCCGGATCCATCATGGTCGTTCCCTTCAAGTGCCTAAGTGTACCCGATAGCGCGCCTACACAACTGGGTTCGACAATGTCATTCTGATTCGTTGGCCAATTGATTCATCTTCAATCCTTCAACAGTGAAAGGAATGTGGTCCTCTAGGAAAATTCCATAAAGGCTAAATAGCATCAACTCAGGGGCCTGGACTTCCTCAACATATCGCTTGATGTACCTCTTAACGCGCCTAGTGATGAATGCTATTCCGCCATGGTCTTGAGATGTCTGATCACACCGGTGGTCGTCAGCATGAACCGCACCCATTCAGCTGAAGTCAGAAAATGATGTAATGAGACGCTATCTAGTCCTTCAATGCTTATTTTGATCGAGGACTTGGTACATGAGCGTACATATGCAGGGCATGAACATGCACGTAGTTCCTTTCGCAAGTTGGTTCCCACTGATAGGATGGTTTGGCGTTCATGCGCTTCCAGTTGCCCAATTGCTCGATTCCCTGTAAAATTGGTTTAATATCCCTGCATAGCTTGTGTTATTGCAACGGTGGATGTCCAGTTGTGTTGACGTAAATGCTTCAAACAAGTTCAATTCCACCGAAGGCCTCAGGCACCCGTATCGAAAGTCATTGAGCGGGAACAGCTCAAACGCCAAGACTGTGAGAGGGGATACACAGAATATAAGTAACAGGCTGTTATTCTAATTCGAGGATGAGAAAGCTGGATCAACGGATATCCTCGATGAATTTTGCTGAAGTCGTCCAGTCTGTCATGTTAACTCTTAACATTCGACTCTAAAGAGTCTTGGCTCTGTCTAACAGTGGCAACGTCACCTTCTCCACACCGACATCTGGTACCTTGGCTGGGGATAAAGTCGTCCCCTCATTCATCCACCTGTAGATAGCACCCACAGCACCGCCTGAGGTCTTCAAGGGCTTCACAAGCATGTCTTCTCCATTTGATCGCCGACCGTTACCGGACTATTTGTTCTCCTCGCCTTTAACTGCGCTGCTCTATCCCCTCCATCATATCCTCCTCCGACTGCGCGGCCCTCCACGCCTACCCTCGCCCGATGCGCACCCCATCCGCGTTGTCTGCATCTCCGACACTCACACACTAGAATGGGACGATGTCCCAGACGGCGATCTGCTTATCCACGCAGGCGACCTCTGCAATGACGGAAGCATCCGTGAAATCCAAGCCGCAGTCAACTGGCTCCAGACGCTGCCTCACCCTCACAAAGTAGTCATCTGCGGCAACCACGACAGTTACTTCGACATACGCTCCAGACGAGACGAAGACCGCGACGCTTCCTCCTCGTCCTTCGCAGCAATCTCCTCCTCCACCGCCTCCATCCGCTCCCTCGACGACGACCCAGAC